TGGCGCTCTCCCAATGTATATAGGACTGGTTGTGACTTTGAATACAGATATCTTAACAACCTCCTGAACTTCTCTGATAATATTTATGTCACAGTATTTCAGTTTTCACTTCATTTTTTAAAATTTGGACTAGAATTCCTTAGAATTATAATATTTATACTAATTAATTCTAGATGTTTTTAAAGTGCTCCTATCAAAAAAGATAACTTCGAACCCTAGTCCCTTCCCTGTGTCAAACCCTCTTATTCTTCACAGAGTACACTTCTGCAAGATGAGAATAATGACCCCAATTCCCTTAACCAAATCTTAGGGGAGAATGGGTATGCAACCAACATTTAACTAATTAAGTGTGATAAATGTTGTTCAGCTTTATCTTCCAATCCTTATATGACTTACAGATCTACTTTTCATCTGTATTTTATAATTAGGAAAAAAATAGAAGTTGAGTAGATCATACAAGTAGAAATTAGTCAAACCAAGTCGATTTATCAAAATATAAAAGGAATTCTTGTAATCACTAAGGTCAATGTTGAAAACTGGAATACTCAGCTCAGAAGCCCCAAATTGCAAGGGGACACATGATGAATCTTTGTAAATCTAAAATGCAAACATCACATTGTGGCCACAACCAAGAAACCTCAGCTTCTGATACACACAAAGAAACCAACTCACTTTTATAGAACTGGTGTCGTAGAAAAATACTGGTGTTGTAAAAAACACTGGTTGTAGATCATTGATGGATTTTATGGATGTTTCCAGATGCCTAGAATTGGTATCATTTGAGTAGATGAAAGGTGGGGATGCAATTTTGAAAGAGAAGCTGAAATGTAACTTTACTTGCTGAGAAGTTTTTTTAATACAATTGCAATTGTTACAGATCTAGTCATATTTTCTAATTCTTCTTGGGCCACTTGTAGCAATTTATGTCCTTTTTAAAAATTTCATTTAATTGTGTAAAGGTTGGCATAAAGTTGTTCATTGTATTCCTTTATAATCCTTTTTATTTCTGTAGAGTCAATAGCAATCTTCTATTATAACTCATTTGATAATGTGTCTTTTTTCTTATACATGCTTGATCAGTCTAAATAAATTATGCCAATTTTGTTGATCTTTTCAAAGAACAAACTTTTGATTTCATTGATTTTTCTCTATTATTTTTCTTTTTAAATTTCCACTCTAATCCAAATTATTTCCATATTTCTGTTTACTTTAAATTTAGTTTGCCTTCCTTTTTTTTAAAAAAAAGAACTATTTTAAAGAGGGCACTCGGGTTATTGATTGAGGCCATTTTGTTTTCAATATAGTGTATTTACAGCTTTAAAGCTATACATTTCGAACCCTAGTCCCTTCCATTTAAGTTATACTTCAACTGTATTCCATATATTTTTGTGTGCTTTTTTTCTTTCTTATTCAATTCATAATATTTTCTAATTCCCCCAGTGATTTCTTTACCTGTGGTTAATTTAACAGTGAGTAATTTAAAATCTGCTTATCTGAGAATTCCCCAAACATATGTGCTTTGTATTAGTTTTCTACTGCTATGGAATAAATAAATAGCCACAGACTTAGTGGTTCGATGTTATCTAAATTTATTATTTCACAGTTTCCTTGGATCTGGAATTGAACATGGTGTATGTGAATGGGTTCCCTGCTTGTGAAGTCACATGGTTGAAATAAAGAATTGGCCAGGGATGCAAGGGTGATGGTTAGTAGGCGTCATCTTAAAATTCTGCTTCCAGCATGGTCTATACTGAACACTGTTCCATGTGCACTGTTCCATGTGAAAAGTTTGGGTGTCCTGCAGTTCATTGAGGGAGTGGTGCATGGCATATATATCAGTTGACAAACAGAGTCATTCAAGTATTTTATTTCTTTCTTGATTTTCTATCTAGTTTTTCTATGAGTAAAGAAGATTAGGCTATTGAAATACAACTAGTAGTATAAGTTTTCTAATTCTTTCAATTTTAACATTTTCAGCTCATATTATTTTAAGGATCAGTTATTAGGTCTCATACATTTACAATTGTATTGTCAAATTGTTCATTTACAAATGTATGATAAAATGTGGTATTGACTATTTCATGATTATAAAATATCCCTCCAGTCAGAATGGCAGTTATCAACAACTCAAAAAATAACAGCTGCTGGAGAGAGTATGGCGAAAAGGGAACACTGCTATACTGTTGGTGGGAGTGTAAACTAGTGCAACCTCTGTGGAAAGCAGTGTGGCAATTCCTAAAAGCTCTAAATATCAACCTCCCATATCACTCTGCAATCCCCTTACTGGGAATATATCCTGAAGAACTCAAATCACTCTAAAAAAAAGATACCTGCACACGTATGTTTATTGCAGCATTGTTCACAATAGCAAGAACCTGAAAGCAGCCATGCTGCCCATCAAAAGAGGACTGGATTTTAAAAATGTGGTACATATACACG